CTAAGAAACAACCTTGATGACTATGAACCATGTTGTGATTTTGATGTATATGATGGGATGATTCTTGATAAGTTTAAACCTGTTTCTCAAGAACACATTAAATATGTAATTCTAAAATCCCCTAGCAAACATTGTGATCTCGACCATGTCCCTAGTTCTCTGTTGTCTTCCTGCATTGACGAACTGATCCCATTTATTATTAAAATCATAAATAATTCTCTAGTGTATGGACCAGTACCAGATTCGTTTAAAATCGCTCTTGTAAAACCTTTGCTAAAGAAGCAAAACTTAGATCAGAATGTCTTAAAGAACTATAGACTTGTTTCAAATCTACCTTTTTTGTCTAAAATCCTTGAAAAGGTTGTCCTCGAGCAGTTTCGTCATCACTTACCAGAAAACAATCTGTTAGAGCCATTCCAGTCTGCCTATCGAGCTAACCACAGCACAGAAACAGCACTTCTTAAAGTCATGAATGACATGCTTACTGATTGTGATTCAGGAAAAGTTGTTTTGCTGAGCCTTTTAGATCTATCAGCAGCTTTTGATACAATTGACCATCACATTTTATTGAAGCGATTGGAAGTGTCTTTTGGATTATCCTGGACTGCCCTTAGTTGGTTTTCTTCTTACCTGTCAAATCGTTACCAATTTGTTTTATTAAAGGGCTTAAGTCATCAGATCATGCTCTTAAGTATGGGGTCCCCCAGGGCTCAGTCCTCGGTCCAGTTTTGTTCACCATTTGTACTCAACCATTTGTCAAGGAAATGGTTAAATATGACTTAAAATACCATTTCTATGCTGATGATACCCAAATTTATGGTTCAACATTGTTTACCAACTAAAGTGAACTTGGCCATCGTGCTGAAAATTGTATTGCCCTAGTGAAAAACTGGATGAACAAAAATAAACTGATGTTAAATGATAATAAAACAGAAGCCATTCTGACAGGCAATGCAAAGTCTGTTAAAGAGGTTGACCATGATCACATTACAATTGGTGATGCAAACATTTTATTTTCAAGAAAAGTTAAGAATCTTGGCATCTATTTTGATTCTAGTTTGTCAATGTCGGCTGAGGTAAATCATCTGATCAGCTGCATGCATTTAGAAATAAGAAAAATTAGTAAAATACGTCATCTGATCAATACTAAGTATACTGCTTTACTAGTAACTAGCTTAATTTTATCAAAACTCGATTATTGTAACTCCTTGTTATCAGGAATATCACTGGAGAAAGTTAAAAGACTTCAAACTGTCCAAAACAATGCAGCACGTTTAGTTTTACGGAAAAGAAAGCGAGACTCTGCTAAACCTCTTTTACGAACTTTGCATTGGCTTCCTGTTGAGAAAAGGATTGTGTACAAGTTGGCCACCATATGTCACAAATGTTTGAATGATAATGCACCATCATATTTATCAAATCTGTTAAGACTGTACATTCCAACTCGCAGTTTAAGGTCATCAGCTGACAAAAAGAAGTTTATTTTACCATCTATAAAACTTAAAACAATGGATGAAAGGGCATTTGAATACCAATGCCCCAAGATCTGGAAACGTTGAGAGAAATCAAATCTTTTGATTCATTCAAATGTTAGCAGAAGTCGTTTCTGTTTTTAAATTAATAAGATGGATATTTGGAATAATTTTCTTTAGTCAGAACACAACGTTTCATGTTACTGTTTTATGTTATACTGTATTGTAAAGCGCTCAGAGCCTGTGTACTTTATTCGGGGGTTAAGCCCTATATAAATGTCATTTATTATTATTATTATTATTATTATTATTATTATTGTTATAATATATATATATATATATATGATATTGGGGTGGAATTCTTTGTGCAGATCAAATCTGTCTTCTCTTTAATTCTCAGTAGTGCTTGTATGTTGACCTGGTATCAAACCTGACACAAAAATACTGCATAAGGTCATATGAGTGCGAGCGAGGAGCACATTAAGTATTTTCAGTTTGGTAGAAATTAACTCTGTTTTTTCCCGGGTGGCGGCCGAAGCTACTCTTATCAATTTTGGAAACATCAAGGGATCTTTAATGTGCGCTGCTTGCTATCTGCTCAATCTTACCTACTCTAAGATTATGGGTGTGGCTGGAAGACAATAGTGAAAAGGATCCAGGTGCAGCAGTAGAGAAAGTCAGAAACCCAGAGTAGGGGAGAAAGGGGGGGGGGGGGGGGTAGCAGAAAATAGAGATGAAAGTAGATGACAGAAAAATTATTAGAGAGCAGGAAGGAAAGTGAAATGAGAAAAATTTAGAGATGAAAATTTTCCGTCGGTGCCATGTTCCGAACCCTGGATAAAATGAATGGGCGCAGTGTAAATTTAACAAGTTACCGCATACATTATAGTACTGAACAGATCATACATTTTATTTTACGACAAAGGATTGTCACTTTTACTGCCAATGTAATTAGTTTTATTCTCAAATGATCTTATACCGTAAGCATCGCGTAACAAAAGAAACATCACACACAATTCATAAAACAAAACCGTACGTTTAGTGCAAGAAAAAAAATTATTATGCCAACAAAATTAATATGGTACAGTATCTTCATCTGTGCACTATCAGCGAAACTTAACCAATTACCATCACACATAAAAATATTGCCATGCTCACTTGATTCGGGGAGGAGGGGGGGGGAGGGCATAAAGCATAATTTCAATGAAATCAAATCGAAACTCTATTTTAAACGTATTAGGGCTATTAATGTGGTAGACATAATATGTAATCTCGTATTGATCGGTATTACTTAAAATGACATAAACACATTAAACTGGAGGCAAAGGAAAATTACTGAATCGATTGGAATAATCCATAAAGGAAAACTGAAGGCGTCCACCTTCAACTCAGTTGGTATCATGCTGGACAACAGAGCGGGTGACCACAAAAGGGCGAGCCGAACATGGGTTATTTTGGGGAATTTTTAAGGCTCACCACCCATTTGTCTTTGTACTATTGGAGGTGGACGTTGAATTCTGAGGTCCTGCCTCTTAAATGAGGGTGCGGTGGCGGAGCAGTTGTTGCACTCGTCTCCGAAGCGGAAAGTCCGGGTTTGAGCCTCGGATCAGACACGGATTTTTTTCGCCCCCTCCTACCCACCCAGCTGTAATAGGTACCTGACTTCGAGTTGGGGAAAATAAGGCGGCTTGGAAAGGAACTTGCCACTCTACCACAATGTGCCAAAGGCCCAGGAAGTTGTCTCACTAACAAGGCAATCCCCAACGTCCAGATCGGATGCGGGATCAAGTTTACTTTTTTACCTCTTAAATAGCCTAATATGAAAAAAACTGAAAAGAAAAGAAAAACAAACAACGAAACTCTGAATATGAAATTGTGTCCTGGCGTTATGGGACGCTGGTGCAGTACAGCAGACAAAATTAATGTGCCCGTGAGTAAACTAACTCAAGCAGTCCGCCGTCTCTCTCTTCATAAGCTATTGGAAAAGAGTGTAAAAGAATACTGAAGTCCTACAAACAGAAACTTGCAAGGGCAAATTTGAGGAGATATTTGCTTGCAATACGCCTTTCTGCCGGCCGAGATTTACACACCAAAGAACGGGCGGAGAGAAGGTGTGAAGAGCCCACTGTTTGGTGCGAAAAGGTTTATATATTTACTAATCTTTCATTTGAAAAAAATGATAGTTCGTGTTTATCGAAAGAAATCTTAACGGAGAAGTGAATGGACTGTTCAGATAGTGTTGAAATCCCACCAGCAATGCACACAAATGTCCACAATCGGCATTGCAAATAGATCCAGCAGAACCCATCAAACAAGGCGTTGTGTGCACGTTAGTTTGAATATCATTAAATCACTATCAAACATTACTGTTCTCGTTTCTTTTCGAATATATAGTACCCGTGTTGTATTTTGGTGGTGGTTGAACACCCACTTTCGACTTAATAAGGAGAAAATGACCTCTGTATTACGCCTATCCCAGACACAAAATTGTCAACTTAGTGAAGGGCCACGGGAACTGCGGGATCGTCTTAAGTTCAAGAAAATCTAGAAGTAGATTCAAACCACGGTTATCTGCTTTACAGATCTGTTCAAGCTCAACAATGGCCCACCGGATCGACCATATATTGCAATAAAAAGTCTAAATAAGTAACAAACATAAAAAGATCACAACATCATTCAAGTAAGACCATTCAGAAGAACATATGTACTAGGTGTAACGATAAAAGCTTCGCAAAAAATTAAGGTCGCAACCAAATATCCGTCTGAGAATAATCATACAGTTAATCAAGGCGTTTGAATCAGGGGCATATGCTAATAATAAGAATGTTGACATATGAAGTTCATAAACTGCCATTTCAGTAATATAGAATTGCTGCAAGAAATCAGTTTGTGTAAAGTGTAGGTTTTGATTACTTTTATCAACGCGGACCGTGAACCTCTATGCCTTAAGAATTTATTTGCATTCACAGAAAGCCATACAATGTCTAATGTATAAACACTTGCCTAAAAACAAACACATTAGAGTATGAGCTCGAGCATATATTATTGAGAAAAAAAGTGTTTTGTTTCTACGTGCATCCCCCCCTCGCCCCCCTCGCCCCCTTCGCCCCCCCCCCCCCAAAAAAAAAACACACACACACAACAACAACAATAAAAAACGTGACTACCATCTCCTTGTCTTCCTGTTTTTGTCGTTTCCTCCAGTGAAGCAAGTGATAACTATCAGTGGTTCTGTTTTTGCTTTGTCGTTGCTGCTGCTTTTGATGCTGTCGTTGTTGTAGTCGTTGTTTATAGTGGCAGTGGAGGTGGTGATGCTAGTGGTGATATCGTTTGTTGTTATTTAAGATTACAACAGGCTTTTAAACTATCCCACTTTAACCTCTTTCTAGATACTCTAAAGGCATGGCTTTTAGTTTAGTTTTAGTAAGGGTTTTACGACACAAGCAACACAATAAGATCACATGAGTGCCGAAGATTAAAGGTGATATTAGAGGGTAACAAACACAAAAAAAGAAGGAGGAGAGACAAGGACGACAGGTATTTGATAGGAAAGAAGGACTAAACCATACTAGAGCGCCCGCCAACCACCCACTAAATTTAGCCTGGCTGCACGGCTTCACGAAGTTGTTATATTATTATGCTTGTACATGTACTTGTATATATAATGACATTTTTCAAGAAAAGCCACGTGCTTGAGAAGCGTTATAGCCTGGCTAAAAGCATGTAAAATAAGAATGGAAATCTTGGAAATAAAAGAAAAAAACTATTTCCCAGAAACCGTTCTTTTTCAACTCTATTAATTAATTTCACGGACATTTTTGCACTGCGGCGCCCCTTTCTGTAGGAGCCACTAGATGGAGAGCACATGGATGCTTTTCGCTTGCCAATGCCACGAGAAACTGGGAGGTACCAGAACTTCCTCCTGGGAGGCTACCAAAAAAATTACCGCTGCTGTTGTTGTCGCTGGTGCTGTTGTTCTCGCTGCAAGTGTTCATGTCACTGCAGCCGTTGTCGTTGTAGTTGTTGTCGTCGTTGCAGTTGTTGTTATTGCTGCAGTTGCTGTTGTCCATGCTAAAGTTGTTGTTGTCGCTGTGCTGGCAGCTACTTTTGATTTTGTCAGCATCGTCTCCGCCTTTGCTACGCGTGCTGCTGATGATGCTGCTGTTGCTGCTTCTGTTACCATCGTCCCCTCCAGCGCTGCTGTTACTGTTGTCTGGACCCCCCACGTCTGCCACGCCGTGACGTCGTCGTCTGTGAGGAGACGGCCACCAGAAACATGACGTGGTCTTCAGGAGACCAGCCCGCACACTTCTGCTGTCCGGGCCTCCATCGTCCATTCGTCCTCCAGGGGAGAGGAGCGGTCTGCTGGGGCTGCACGTCGATATGGTGGACGCGGAATCTTGGCGGGGAAGGTAAGAGCTCTATGGAGAAAAAGACATTGTGTGTTTTGATTTTATATTATGAATACGACATTCTACCAGACTCAAATAAATTGCGTCTGTAGTGTAGCGGTTAAGCGTTACGCTGTCGCATGCAAGCGACCTGTGTTGTTCGTATCAGGAATCACGAAAAGCAACCCAAAAAAAAAAAAAATTCAGCAAGGACCATAGCATTAAACTGCATTTTGGTGATATTGAAAGGTTCATCTGTGACAGAAATTTGAGAGGGCGTGGGAATCGAAAAATTTCTAAATTTGTACTTAAGTGGATTGCTTGCGACAGCAACGATATCATGTTAACCCTAGATTTTAAAAAACCGAAGAATAGCAATGCTACAGCAGCTATCGTGTTTGCGAATTTACATTTATGTTATGTCATGCATATTATAGTTATACAGTATTCCGAAAAGTGTGTATACTGATCAGTGTAAATAAAATGTCAGCAAGGACAGATAAAACGATCTTGTTTCTTTCTTTTTGCTGTTAATAATAAGAAAATAAATACAGTCGAACCTTCTCTTAAGGTCACCTGTCTAAAACAACCCTTTTGTACAAGAGACACTTCCACCGTTGCTCTTTTTTTACATTATAATCACTGTGTCCAAGACATCAACCTGTCTAAGACAACCCTTTTTCTCTTCGACAATAGATGATCGTTTGGACAATAGATACTGTAATATTGTATAATTTATGGAAGGGTTAGAAAGAGTGTAAAGCGCATAGAGCTTGCTGTCGGACGGGGGTTTGCACTATGCAAATGCTATTTTTTAAATATCATTGTTATTATTATTGTTATAAAATAATAATAATAATTATTATTATTATTATTACTGTTATTATTATTATTGTTGATATCATTATTAGTTTTATTATTATCATTATTATTATTATTATTATTATTATTATTACTTATATTATCATAATCATCATTATTATCATTATTTTTTTAAATTATTATTATTATTATTATTATTATTATTATTATTATTATTATTATTATTATTATTATTATTATTATTATTATTATTATTATTATTATTATTATTATTATTATTATCACTACTACTACTACTACTACTACTACTAAATCTATGCACAGTACAGGCTTTGCTGCTGGCTTACCGGCAAGGGAGAGGGGTCTGAGAGTCTTCTGTTTCGAAAGTACGGCGGCGACTCCAGCAGGAACTCTTCATCATCGGTCAGCACTGAGGTTCCCTCTAACTGTTCCCCGTCTGTGAGTCGGAGTGCAACAGTACTTCCTTTTGACCAATGTACAGTCTGCTGTTTATGTCCAGTCTTTTTAGCCTGGCCGGGTAAAGCGTGCAGTTCATCACTTTTTATGACTTTACGACTACTTTGGGCTTTGACTTGGAGCCCGGTTGCAACGAAGTTCTCCCCGCTGTTAGAACTTAGGTATTCTTCTGAAAAACTTCTTTTCAAACTCTTTCGAAACGTCTGTCTGTGGAGGAAAATTAAACCGGAGTGCTCGACTTCGTCTTTGCCCTTTTGGGTGTGAGGATATTTCGGGCGAGTATCTTCCTTTGATTTCCCGAGGCTACTGCTCAGCTGGCCGGAGTGCTGCAAAATGTTTTGGAAGTCCGCGTACTGGTGTGAAGACGCTGATACTTTCTTGACATTCCTTCTTTCTATTTTACTTTTATTTTCACGATCAACTGGGACGCTTGGGGATTTGACAAACGTCTTTTTCATTTTCGGGGATCTTTGAAGATTCCCCAGTTTTGCACCTGGTTCATCAGTGGGTACAACGAGAGAAAATGATTTCTGCACAGAATTGACCATTCCCGGATGACTTGTCGTGAGAATAGCTCTGTTTTCAATGCTCGGTCGTACCTCGTGCACCTCTGCCACTACTATGTGGGTAGTAGAGGATTTACGTTTCGAACAAAGCTTTAGATTAGATGCTTCTACTTCTAGTGAAGTCTTTGATTTTGGCTGCCACTCTGAACTGCCTGTGATAGTTGTGTTATTTATAGTGTTCACGTAATCCCGGGGTGGGTCGGAGAAGGAGCGTTTCCGACTGATTCCTCCATACCAGAGAGGCAACATGTCTCCGTATCTCTTAGCAGATGCTGACGGTTTTGCAACTTTTCTGGACATTCGGACAGCTGGGGGTAACTGTCTCTGGGGCCTATCCAGGACATGATAGAGAGAGTTTTCCATCGCAAGCGTAGGGGCCTTCACGACAGCCTTCCTCCGCTTCTTTGTTTTGGTAACCCTATCATTGTTCTCCTTAGGTTTTAGTCTTGTCGGCATTCTTTTGACAACATTTTTTGCCTCCCTCTCCTCTTGCCATATATTTTGCTGTGCGCTATAGGACACATCTCCCTCGCTGCGGCGCCTTTTTGTAGCTTGGAAATGTCTGATGTTATTTGGGTGTGGTGAAACTAATTCACTAATAGACGTATCAGAGATTGCTCGATGCAAGTTGTTGGCAATATTAATTTTAGCTTTGTCGGATAAACTTATAATTTCTTTTGACGAGTGATTATCAACAGAGAGAACCGTCTCTGAAATATTCACGACCTCCACTTCTTCAGGAAAGACGTCATCATTCATGATATCACACGACACCTCCGCAGCAGAAATTTTCCTCCCTCTGATTTCAAGCTCAATTTCTCGTTCTGTAATATCATGTCCATCTCCCCGAAGTCCAAAGGAGTCCGGACTGCTGGACAATACGTGGCCCGACTCGCCGCTGGACACGCTGACCTTCACAGGGCTCTGATAGCCAGAGTCCTCGGACACTGGCCCGTGGTAAGTGCTGGCTCCGGAGCACGTACTCTGTGTGTGCTCACGTGGGGGTACCACACGCAGGAGTCTGACATCAGTGTCATCGGCATCGCTGTCGTTGTCTCTAGCCTGCAGGTTTGAACACAACATATCTTTTTTAATAAATGAAAATTAAATTGAATATTATTGTATTATTTCATTTAACTAACAATGAAATGACAGGGTTAAGTAAGAGTACTGCGTGAGATTTGTACACTGCAGACTTAGACCACACATTATTCACTTTATTTTAGGCAAATTAGTATTTTTTTTAATGTTACTGAATAGGAAAAAAATATCGTGATCTTTCGTGAAGTCAGTTGAAACACTGACATTGATTTAAAAGGTTTCATCTATCTCTCCTCTCTCCCCTTATTCATCAAAATAAAACGTTAAATATTCTGGACCGCAGGTATCAGTTAAGATTTTTTAGGGCAAGGGTAGTGTCGTATGATCCCACGGCCATTACCATTCTCATTTAACTGAGTTCATGGATTTTGTATGGCCCAGATGGTAGACTGTGCTTCGGACCGATTTAAACACGGCTGTCAGCTATAGGATCCCTTTTCTCTGCACTGATGATTGATTGGATTTTTTGTGTGTTTTGTTTGCGTTTGGTTGTTGTTGTTGACTGTATTTTTTATTTTTTTATTTTTTTTTTGGGGGGGGGGTATTTGTTTGTTTGTTTGCTTGTTTGTTGTTGGGTTTTTTTCTTGGGGGTGATGGTGATGTTGCTATTGTAAGATTATTTTTCAGCCGAAGAAGAAAGCGAACTCAACTAGTTCCATACTCAAGCTAACCGATGTACGGCACAACTACTCTGCCACCAATTACTGTCTTGTCCTCACCTTGTAGAGAGACTGTTGAAGATTGAGCTGCATGTCCAGGTACTGGGCACCACTGACGTCAGTCATCATGTCTTCCAGCCACTGAGACAGCGTGGAGAAGGTGGGTCGGTGGTCTGGGTGCTGATGCCAGCACTTAAGCATCATCTGGTACCTGACAGACACATGGAAAGGTTTAGCTTTGGTTTCAGTCAGAGGTTTTTAGTTTTAGTTGAGGTTTTACGGCGCTTGCAACTGCATAAGGTCATATGAGCACCAGAAGATTAGAGGTGTTACAAGAGAGTAACACTCATAAAAAAGGAGGGGAGATAAGGACGATAGATGTTTGACAGGAAAAAAGGGGCAAACCACGCCAGAGCACCCGCCAATCACCCACTCAGTAAGAGGTTTACGGCACATCCAACACAATTAGGTCACATAATCATCGATGGCTGAGCACAAGAATTGACTATATCCACTTTTGGTCGAAATGGAGTAATCAAAAAGGGTTGTGACATTCTAAGCTGCTCTTTGACCCCTGTAAATATCTAAGCCGTAGCTTGATTCGGTATCGAGATATTAACGTTTCTTTTTTGACTATGTTGAAGAGATTTTAAAACCGTCAAAATTCCAAACTCTTTTTTCTCGAAACTGTGAAAAGTGGATATAGACACTTCTTGCGCTCAGTCGTCGTTATATGTGCTGAAGATTTTAGCTGTAACCAGATAGTAACTTGCAATTAAACGAATACGAATGAAGAGAGCTGAGGATGATAATAAAGAAGGATTAAACCACAACAGAGTACCCGCCAACCACCCACAACATTGAAAGGTAATCACGGTTATGGCGAACTTCGTATGTATTACACGTTAACAAATAAGGTGTTAAAAAAAAAGAAAAGCACTCAATGTATTATTAATAATAATAATAATAGATAGCATTTGTATAGCGCATATCCCCGCTCAACAGCAGGCTCTATGCGCTTTACACTATATTATTACCCCAGCAGACCATAGAACACTCCGAAACATTCTCAGCTTCCCGGGAAGCATACAGTGCAAGCAGCTGATTAAGCGCTCAAACACAAACAAACTGACAAGATCTTTCGCTGTCTATAGCCGGGTACCCATTCCCACCTGGGTGAAGTGAGGAAAATTTGTGTAAAGTGCCTTTCCCAAGGACACAACGTCGGGTCCCTGACGGGATTCGAACCCACGGCCTTACGGTTGCGAGTCCGAGAGCCTATTACACCCCCATTGAAATAAGTTAGATCACGTATTAAGACACGAACTTCGGGACTTCCGGTTTGACCTGGCTGGTGGCCGGTCGGTTATTCAGTCGCTCCGCGATTTTTGGTTTATTTTAGAGGTTTTTTGTGACTCAGGCTGTTGTGTGTGGTATGTAAATGTGTGTTTCTGTTCCTGCTTTAAAACGGTAAGTGTGGTCAGTATTTACAATTTTTGTATTGTTCTAATTGAGCCTTTTTGTCTTTCTTTTGACTTATCATTGGTTTATCATTCTCTCTTCTTTCCACTTCTCTTCTCTGCCTGTCTTGCTTTGTTGAGGGTTTTTGTTATGTGTGTTCTTTTAACTTTTTATGTCAAGCGGATTTCACGAGTGTTCACTGGTCGCTTCGCTTGTTTATCTCTTGTCGTTTTCCCTATTGTTCTCAACCTCACAGCGGTGGGCCTCAGTTTCAAGGGAACAATAGAATGAGCCGGTCTGTTTAGTTTGTTTTGCTTGTTCTGAGTGGAAACGTGTGGGTTGTGAGTGTACCTTGTTGTTGTTGTGGCCCGTCTGTTTGTGTTGTGTGTATGTGAGAGCGCCTGTTTGTGTATTCTTACCCTCTTTTCATTCGTCCCTTTCTCTGTTAATTAACCCTCTCTCTCTCT